CCACCTCGGGCTGGCTGCACACTGTGGGGAATGGGGGAGAGGTGGAGGGTGCTCCTTTACCCAGCAGGCTAGGTGAAGAGGGTGTGCAGACAAAAGAAACAGCCTGTGCAAATGCTCTGAGGCACCAAACATCCTAGCTTGTCCATGGAATAGAAAATAGGGCTTTATTCTGTTAGCAAGGAAAGGGAGCTCAGAAGGGCATGGTGGGATTCCCAATTTGAAATGCTCCCTCTGGCTTCTGTGCCTGTCGTTGGAGGGTGGCGTGCGAGGGAGGCAGCCTTGGAGGGCTGAAGCCTGGCTGAGCAGGTTGGGTGGGCTCAGGGCTGGGGAGGGCACTCAGAGAGATGATGGAGACTCCTTCTAACTTCTTCACAAAACCCCCTTCCACAGCTCTGCCCTTCCCACCCGCTCACTACTCTCTCTGCTCCGAAGCTCCCAAGCACTCAGTGGAGCCCCTTGCACTGAGCCAGGGAGGCAAGGCCTTTCCCTTGCTGCTTCCCCTCCTCCATCCTTGCCCCAGCGTGGCCCAGCCCCCACCCCACTGAAGAATGCTTCTGGCCACAGTGTCTCCTCCCCAGGGCTTCACTTTGTCCAGGCCCCCAACTTTCTCATCTTGACATCTTTCTAAAACCAAATTTCTGATGGTGTCACGCCCCTGCCTAAAACCCATCAATAACTCCCTATTGGCTGCAGAATTAAGACCCAGCTCTTCCACCTGGCCTAAAAAGCTTCCCTGAGCTGATTTCACCCACCCCATCTCTTAACACTACCTCTAAGCAATATGGAACTATGTTTTTTTCTCTGAGCACATCACACTACTTCAGACCTCTGGGCCTTTGCTCCAGTTGGTCCTTCTGCCTGGCACACCCTCTGCCTCCTCTCGAGCCTCTTTCAAGCCTCAGAACTAAAGTCACCTCCTCCAGGAAGTCTCCCCCAATCTTACCTCTCTGTAAAATCTGGATGGAGTATTCCACTGTGTTCCCTGCCCCCAGTACTTGAATCCATCACGGTAGACATCACCTTGTGTTGTTATTGTCTGCTAACATGTCTTTTTCTCCCACCAGAAGGATCTTTGGAGGGTGGAGCCTGTCTTGTTTCTGAATGGGAGCCCAGTAAGGGGTGAGGCTTCACAAAGAGATAGGACTCCCCACGAACGTAGGGCTGAGGATTCGGTGAGTAAGACAGAGGCTCAGGGAGCGGGGTGCACAGAGGTGCTCACTGAGTGTTCAGTGAAGTGTGGGAGTGGGACTGGATAGGATTAGGGGGTTGAGTGAGGGTCAGAGATAGAGGGAGAGGAACTCTCCATGACCCAGAAGAGGGTTGATCTTGATCTTGGGGTGGTTTCTAGCCTTAGAGGAATGAGATTCAATGAGAGAGCCCTGAGTGATGCGGGTGGGAGTGAGGGCGGGGTGCGGGGGTGACAGAAACCAGGGCCTCACTGGGCAGGCTGAGGTGGGGGTGGTGGGTAGGGAAGGGCCCTTCTCAGGCTACAAGCTACCCCAGGAGATGTGTCTATTCCTGGTGCCCTGGTGCCCTGGGCACGTCCCCCTGGGAAGGCCTGGCATTCTCTACTTCAACCATGAGCTTGGCTTAGACCTGTGCTTTTCCCTCATCTGCACCCAAATAGGGCCTGTTTGCCTTCCACCTTGAGCCACCTCCCCTCACCCACTCCTGCAGCAGGACCACACCGCTAGCCTGAACCTCTCAGTGGCTCCTCATTACTCAGAGCGCAAGTCAGGTTAAGGGCAAATTTGGTAACTGGTGGGTACCAAGCGCCACCATCTGACCTCTGCGCACGTCTGTGGCATCGCCCACAGGAAGGCTCCCTCAGCCCCAGGCAGCTTTCCTTACTCTGCCCTAGTGGGCGTTAGGCATTTTGTTTTAGCAGCACAACCGTTCTTTTCAGTAGAAAAGGACCTCCACGTAGAAAACAGAATGAGCAGAGCTGCTTCTGTGAAAACCCCAGGACCCCCTATTTCTCCAGCTACTCCTGGCTGTTTCCCATTTCCTGCACCATCTGTGCCTTGTCCAAACTTCTCACATTTAGACACGCTGGTCTCCTGCTTGAAGTGCCCTCCCCTACCTCCACCCCTCACTCCCCAGCCTGGAGATCGCCTACTCATCTCTAGAATCACAACTAAGAAGTCACTCCCTCGGGGCCCCCCCTGGTTCCCTCTCACATTCACTACACTAGATTGAAATTGTCTCTTCCCCCCTCACCTGTGAGCCTCTCAAGACCCATCTCTGCTCCACAGGGCTGGGCTCTGTGGGTTTGCAATGGACGGGTGGGAATGGCCCACGGAGTGAATAGGGCTTCAGCGATGGGACTCTATAGATGGTTGATGTGGGAGGGGATGAATGCTCCAGATGGAGGATGGGACAGTGAGAAGGGGCAAAAAGGGGAGTCTAGCTTCCAGAGGAGTCAGGGTTCAGTGAAGGAATGCAGGCTCCGTGGGGGGCAAGACTCAGGGGGCCCAGGAACCAGATAGGAGAAGGGTCTCAGTAAGGGGAGGGGTGCTTAATGTGAGGGGTGGTGAGGGAAAGAGGGCTCCACGTGGGGCAGGAAATCCAGGTGTGAAAATGTTCGCGAGAGGGTGAGGGCCAGTGAGGATGAGTGGAGGGGGCTCAGGGAGAGGAGGGGTCCTCAGTGAGCAGAAGACAAGGAGATCGCCCTGCCTGAGTTTGTGGCTCACAGCTAAACTTCTCCCCCTCCACGCAGGGACACCATCACTCAGACCTGAGATCAGACATTCCTTGGCTCAAAACAGGTGTGTGGCTCTGGACCAGAGCTATATTGGATGGCTTCTGGTGGCCCTTACCGACATGCAGTCACGGGATGGCAGAGTCCACAGACCTGAGGCTCATAAATACAGCAAGCCTACCTCTGCCCCAGCAGGCTGCCCCGCCCTTGCACGTGCTGGGGGACCAGAGCAGCCACACACGCTATCTCGGTCCTTTCTTCCCTCCCCCACTCCCCTGGAAACCCTGGGGCAAAATGGTCCACACATAGTGTATGTAACAATGATGTGCATGCAGACCGACCACACAGGGCTTGCTATTTTACAAAGATTTCACCATGTCTACATAACCATTGTCTCATGTAACTCTCCCTGTGTTCCTATGCAGTCACACTTGCAGCTTTGTGGTTATGATTTTGAAAGTACTGCCTAGCACATCTACTCTCTTCTCTCTCCGAGTCTCTGTCCACTTTGGACCCTCGTTGCACCCTGAGTCTTTCCCACACCTCAGCACATCCTTGTATCTCACCATCGAGGATGTCCCTCACTCACACCACTTGGTAATAAACCCTGGGCTACATGCTGCCGAGGCTGTGAGACGTGACTGTATCAAAAGTGGACGCATCAGAATCACCACATTTGATTGGCTGTTGCTAGGACTGGCCCATTCTGATGGCCAAGCTGGTACTTTTTTTTTAAGTACAAAAGATGAACCCAGGTCTTCTGATCTTTGGTATAGGTGAGCGTGTGGCTCACCCGTGGAAGTGTGACCACTAGGGCATCTCGCGTGAGTGTGAGTGGCCTCTCCCATTCTCTGTCTCTCATCTCGGAAATAGAGGAGACCAATTATAAACTGCTAAACCACATCTGGCCCATGGAGTCCAAAACACTGGCCGCAGCAGATGAGAAGGGAGGAAAATCAAGGCCTCGCTGCTGATTAAACCTAACTGTCTCTAATTGTTTGTTAAGCCAGGGATTTTCAGCTTCACCAGTTCTCTGAGCTTCTCTCCCTGGGCTGAGTTCTGGCCTTGGCCACTCCCGTGGAGACCCAACAAAACCCCCACGGTCTTTCAACCTTTTCTGGCAGGCCTTGGTCTGCTGAAGGCCTCAGAAGTGAAGCAAGAAGTGGTCGGGCTAGACTTCCGAGGACCTGCCTGCCTGGGGGCATGACATCTTTTCGGGGGGGGGGTGTTGAGAGACAGACAGCCTTGGGCTGGGCATCCACCCCACTCCCTGGCACAGTCCCTCACACACAGTGGCCACTCCTCTAACGTATGGCAGGTACAGAACCCCCATTCCTGGAAGCATCAAGCAGAGGCTAGGGGGCCTGCTTTCAGGACTGCCTAGGATGGGATTCTGGGAGGGATGGTGAGGACAGTGGGGCCAGATAAATCTTGAACTCCATCAGGCTCTGTTTTCAAGAAGAGAACAGAGAGACCTCGGTTCCAATGCTGACTGTGTGTCCTTGGGACCGTCATCTCTTCCCTTTTCTTAGCCTCAGTTTCTCCATCCATACAATGATAGGATTTATTATTATTATTAATTTACGCTGAGAACCCTTTCTTCTAATGGCATCTTACATGGAATCTTCCCGAAAGCAGGGAAGGTGAAATTGCTCTGGTTTGAAGGGCAGTGGGGCCAATCTCCTGCCCGCTGCTTCTCCTTCACCCCCTAGTGCAGCTCCCTGAATCCCACCAGACAAAGTTAAAAACCGCAGCAGTGGACTGTCCCAAAACCCTCCCTGCTCCACTGTTCCTGCCCCATGATCTGAGCAGGGAAGGCTGTTGCCCACTGCCAGGCTGTGCGGGGCTCCTGGCCCCAAGGGGTTGAGGGCTGCACTTCAGACTAAAAGAAAGGAGCCCTGAACTGTCCATGAGGTGGGGACTGAGCACCCTGGGGGGAACCGGGCCAGGAGGCATCTCCATGGATACCACACAAAGCTGGTGTTACATCAAAGGGGATAATCCACAAACTGGATCTTCACAAGAGAGGGGTTAATCTAGAAAGCAGGGTCTACAAAGGGGAAAACAGACAAAATGAGAGATCCACAGAGTGGGTAGTAATCTAAACAAACCCATCCACAAATTGGATAATCCACAAGCAGGGTAATCTACTGAGTAATCTACAAAGCTGTAACAGACAAAGTAGAAATCTGCAATGGTCATCACAGAACGAAATGACCAAAGGCCCGCATCCCCAGACAGCGCCCTCACCACCACCACTCCCAAGGCCCACGGTGGTCCAGCCCCATCCATTACTCACTCCGCCTCTGCCTCTTCCCCTTGATCCCCCGGCTGCCGGCGGCGGTGGCGAGATGCATCCAGCTCAGAACCAGGGCCACCACACACAGCCCAAGCCGCATAGTCACTCGCCAGCTCCAGGCCCCTGGTAGGAGGGGTGGTCTCTGCGGGGGGGGGGGTGGACGGCGCAGGGCTCTTGCTAACGCCTCCGGGGCTGGGTCAGCAGCAGGAGGCCCAGGCCTGGGCTGTATCCCAAATCCACCATAATCTCAGCTGGGGACAGAGAGGGTGTGGGGAGCCCACTTCTCCATCAGCCCATGAGTAGGTCCAGAGAGCTTTCCTCAAAGGCACCTCAGGGTGTCACATGGGAGAACTCTTTCACTTCAGCAGGGACACCTCCAAAAACCAACCTGTTGGGGGAGGAGAGAGAAGGGTTAATTCTGGGGTACCATAGGGCCCCCCAACCTATGCCTCCTGCCCTCCCACATAGTCCCCTACCCAGGAGACTGTGAGAACTCAGCATGTTTGGACATTACGAGTCACCCACCTGGCACCCCTGTAGAAGAAACTTGCTCCTTCTCCTATCTCACAAAAGCCCCTAACCTGGGATTGGAGCTGGCTACCCAAGTAGTTGGAATATGGTGGACACTCAAATCAAACTTGTGGATCACTGGAAACCAGCTGCCTTGTTTCTACCCTGCCCAATGTTAGCCAGCTCTAGCTGGAAGTCCTTCTTTAGGTCTGCCCTATAGACCTCATGCTGCAGTTATATCATGTCTCTTAAAGAGGAGCTCTCTCTGTTCTTCTGTGACTGACCCCTCAGCCTTCTCTCCCCAGTGCTGAGTCACCCCTGTGCCTTTCACTTGTCTGGAGCTAGAGCAGTGGCCCCCGACAAGCTGGCAGACCCTGCATGGCCCTCTGGGCTTGGCGGGAGAAAAGGAAGTAAGGCTTCCCCCGGCCACAGAAACTCTGACACAGCAGGCCCGGCGGGCCTGGCCTTTGTGAGAGGATAAAAGAGGCAGCAACTCCCGCCCTGGCCAGAGACACAGAGAATGGGGATAATCCCCCAGCCCAGCGAGAGCCAGGTCTCTGGACCCGCTGGCCCGGGTAATGGGGGCAGGGGGAGCTTGTCCCTCCCCGGTGAAATGTGTCTGGGAAGTTGGAGCCCAACCTGGGAGTCAGGGCATGAAAACTTGCTTCATACTCAGGATCGCATGCTCTCACAACACAGGCCTGCACACGCATTGGCCCACACACTTGCCACACACACATCCGCACTCACACAGGGGCAGAAACGGAATAGCGAGCCTTAGGGACACTTTGTAGATGCAAAGGAAGCATTGCCCTCCCACTGATGATTAAGACACCTTTGGACAAGTCGCTTAGCCTCCTTGAACCTCAGTTTCCTCATCTATAAAATGGGGATAAATATGCCCATTTCACAGGCTTGCTCTGAGAGTTGGCTGAGTTTGGGCTTACTAATGAGAAAGCTGAAATGCTAGAGTGGAGGTGCTCCTCCCAAGCCTGTTCCAATCCTCCCCCTTGGCCTCTAGGGAGGCCCCAGGAGAACCCACCTGCATGGGAGATAAATCATTATCCCGCGAGGGAGTTCGACACCCCCTTCTCGGCCTCTCCCACAGGCTTTGAAGGCCAGACACACTCAAGTGGTTAAGCTGCCTGTGAGAAGTGTTTACATGAGACTGATGGATCCCACCTGGAGCTGCGGCCGGAGCCTGCGGAGATGCCCCCAGCCACCCCCAAGTGCCCTGTCAGCTGCCAGCCCCTACCTGCCCCTCCAGTACTCCCTGCGTGACCTGCCAGAGCCATTCCATCTTTCCCAGCCCCCACTACACACTTCCATCACCCACCAACTGTGAAAGCTTCGGCTGAGCTTATCAAACTGGGGTCTTCAGCCCCAAGTATACAATCCCAGAGGTTGGCCGTAAAGCACTATGGTTAAGGGCATAAACATCAGAATCAGGCTGCCCGGCTTTGAATGTTGCCTCTGCTACTTATTAGCTATTACCTTAGGGCTAGTTGCTTAGCTGGTCTGAGTCTCAGTTTCCTTATCTAAAAGAGGATTGTTGCTGTTTTTAAAGTTTTAATGAGTTAATACACGGAACTGTTTAGAACGGTGCCTGGCACATCATGAGTACTCAATAGTGTTTTTCTATGACCAAGACTTCACTTTGAGTCTACATTCCAATGGTCATCTAAAGAGCAGTAGAAACAGTTTTTGTATCACCTGGCTACTAATCTTAACACTGAGCATTGTTGTGCAATTTCCATATTCGCATTTTTTTTTTGGTTGATTGCCTTGGCCCCACTGATCACTCAAAGTGATAGGGTTGACTTTTACTTGTTTATTTTTCTTTCTTTTTAAATCTTTTTTCTTTGTGTGTGTGTTTTTGTTTGTTTTTTCTTGCTCTGTGGACCTATGTGGAGAAGGGTTAAACTTTAATTGTGGCATTTCTCAAACTGAGGTCTGTGGACACCCTGGCAAATACATTCTCAGGGTACCATGAATCCTTATATTTGACAAACACTGGAGGAGAAGACCACATCAGACAAAGCTGGTGTTAAATCCTGAGTCTGTGAGGCTTTGGTCTCACTGTGTGATCGGTACCCCTGGGGTCCTTGGGGCAGAACAGGTCTATGCATCTCTGCACTCCCTGCACCTGCCAGGCATGGTGTCTGGCCCTTTGGGAACAGTGCTCAACAAATGTTAGCACCCTTCCTCTCCCTCCCTCTATTTCCCTCTAAATTCCCCCTTGGTCCTCCCAGGTCCTCGCTTTCTGTCTGGCCCTTGCCATGCTAGCCCAGTCCTAGCCGGCGAGGATCTTCGGACCCACTCCCACCTGAATCACCACCAACCCATGATCTCAGCAGGGAAATGTGGAGGAGGATCCAGATCTGAATGTCAATGGAGCAAGTGACACTGGCCTTCCTCACCCATCACTGGATGGGAAGAGTTGCAATATAGAATCAACCCTGAAAAGGAGCTAAGTGTTCATCCTATCAGGGATACAAGCAACAAATAGGAGGCATGCTGGGCGTAGAGGGGGTGAACTGGAGGGCAAATGCCCCATCTAAAGGGAGCGTCGGCTAGTCCACTCCAGCTGACTGTTGATAGGCAGAAATCCTGGCTCCATATTGCTAGATCTTCTGCTTTTTTAAAAAGAAGTTGAAAACTCTGAATTTTATGTGAAATCTGATTTTAAAAGCAGGACAGGTCTCAGACTAGGCACCCTGCAGTACCCAGCCCCAGAAAGTCACAGGTCTCTGCATTCCCATCCCTCCAGCAAGTCCCTGCCCTCCCCGCCCCAACATGCAGTGGGTACACACAACCTTGGACCAGGGCTAAGAGAAGGGATAGGCACCCATGACTTTCTTTTAAGTAGCCTGCCTTATTTCTATTGGTTCCTCCATCTGAGTTCCTTTGCCCCTTGGGCTACAGGGCACAGGCAGGTCTTTTTTAGAGGCCCATCACTGCACAGGCAGAGCCAGCAATGGGAACTGCTGGCAGCGACCATGACCTCAGGCATCCGTGGGGGTGAGGAAGGGCGTTTTGTCTCTGCCAGGGTGGGGGTGAGGGATTCACACTCATGACGTGCCTGCACCACCTGCCATGCTCCGGACCCTCATTGACTCCTCACCAGAACGCTAGGAGGAAAGCGGGAAAGAATTATTCCCATTTTATTGGCACTGAGAGGTTACGGGTCTTGGGGTTAGCAGCTCGTGACCGGGATCTGGAAAGCCCAGCAAGGGGCAGGGAGCGGAGGGGTGTGGGGCAGCGAGCGGAGGGGCGTGGGGCAGCTTGGGGAAGGAGTGGGAGGCAGGGGCAGAGCTGGGGCCACTTCGAGAGGCCGAACATGCTAGGTGGTCCGTGGAGGGGAGGACAGACTGGGGAGGGGGACATAGCTAGGAGTGGAGCGGAGGGCGAGGATTCAGTGCCCCCAGAAGTCTGGGATAACTTTCACCTTCTTGCCTGCAACACTATCTGGATAAATTGGTACTCCATCCGGGGCCAGATACAGACCCAAAAATGTAAACCATCCCGATAATTTCTCATTGGCCCTTCCCGGGACCAGCTACGGGTGGAGCGTGTTGGCCGCCAAGCGGGCTGGCGGGCGGGGGCAGAATTGCTGGGTGGGGGGCGGGACCAAGTACGTGCCGGACCGACCTGTCTGGATTAGTGTGTCCGCCAGAGCCAAGCCAGGTGCTGGGACCGACCCACTCCCCCGCCCCCAAATACCAAGGGCAGCGGGGAAAGGCTCCTTCACGCCCCTCCATCACCGCGCGCAGTATTCCTCCCTATTCTCCCGAGAGGCCCAACAGGTGCAGGGGGAGGGGAGGCGGACTTGAAGTCCCCCTGACTGCCCCCCAAAATCCAAGAGAACTCTCCAAGTCCAAGAAGCGGGTTTCACAAGACAACCCTTGTCCCAAGCGCGCGCATCCGGAATCCGTCCTAGCCCTCCTGGGAGCCCTGGGCGAACAAATAGCCCCCAACTCTCCCCAACCAAGCAAGACCATCCGGCCCTCGGCGCCAGACCCTGCGGGCCAGTGAGCCGCGCCACTCCGCAGCGCACTGGGGGCCGCCGCGCACGCCGCCTGCCACGTCGGACCCGGGCCAGGGCTGTGGGGGGTAACCAGGGGTCGTGGGACTCGGGAATCACAGGTGAAACCATGAATCAAGAGTTTCTGGACTGGGAGTGGTGGAGAATAGGTCTGGTGGATTTGGGGAGTGGGGACTATCACCGGGGGCTGCGGGGTTGAGGGGAACCCAAGGCAGCACCGGGTGAAGGCTGCCCACTGGCTTGAGGGATGCCCGGGGTGGGGGCAGCAGGACTTAAAAGAGGGGCTCCAAAAGGTGCCCTCTCCCACCCTCGCTCACCCGAGAGCAGTCAGAAGTCCCCTTCCTCTGGCGGTCTCCCCCCCCCCCCCCCCCCCCCCCCCCCCCCCCGCCCCCGGCACTCAGCTCGGCCGAGCCCGGATAAGAGGGCCCGCGGCGCCCCAGGTCCTGCTAGGGAGGAGGACGGGGCAGCTCCGGGGAGACTCACCTCCGCGCTGCCAGCCGCGGCGGGGGCAGGCCCGGGAGGGGCGAGGGCGCGGCCGGCTCACCCGCCCGCCGCGGAACTGTCCTGGGCGCCCAGCGCGCCCGCGCTCCGCCCGCCGGTTTCCAAGTTGCTCAATCTGCGGGCGGCTCACGCCCTCCGGGGCCAGCGCCCCACCCGGCGCATCGGTCCTCCGGGGCGGCCCGGTCCGGCCCTGCTCTCTGCAGTGCCCAGCTCAGGCGGTCAGCTCCCCACAGTCTGCCCGCTCTGGGGTTCTCCGTTGCGCCTCGGCTCCACCGGAGCTCCCGGCCGGGAGAGGGGCTAGTCCTCCGTGCGCACGAGGGAGGGAATCCCCCTCTTTGCAGTCCCACCCCCGAGCCGGCCCCCCTTCCCGGGATCCGCAGCAAAAAACGGACTGGAGCGCCAGGCCCGGGAATTCGTAGCCCCCTCCCGCACACCCTTGCCCTTAGCTGGGTCGCCGCGCTTGGAGCGCAGGGCTGGCAACCGCACCCTTCGTCTGGACCCTGACACAGACCCTCTGTCTTTGCCTCCTCCCCTTCCCCAACCCCGCACCCCAGAGATTCCACGCAGCCAGAGCCCCAGCTGCAGCTCCAGGCGTCTTGGGGGCAGAACATGGCCAGGGAGTCTCTCGAAACCTCAGTTTCCCTGTCAGGAACCTGGAAAGTGACAAGGAACAGGCTTAATTGGGCCTGCGGTCCTGGCCACGCCCTCCTCTTCTCAGAGTCAACTCTTTAGAGCATCTTCCTATTTCAGATGAAATGTGAGACTCTAACATCCCCAGAACCCAGGTGAGGACCCTCCACTGGGAGCTGGTGCAGGAGAGCAAGGTAAATTTTGCAATAAAACCTAGATCCAAATCCCTGCTCCATCACTTACCAGCTGTGTGGCCATGCCTAAGTTACTTGACCTCTCTGAGCTTCAGGGTTCTCCTCTGTTTTGAGGGACAGTGAAATGAAGGGTGCAAGTTGCCAGTAAATGGTAGGGACTCTATAAATGTTTGTGGAATGGGTCTTGAAAGGCTGCAGACACCTGCAGTGACCCAGATGATGTTGAAGTCAAGCCTGAAGAAGGAAGGGAGGGAGGAAGCTTCACTCCTTAGGGTGGCAAACAGCTGTTCTCCAGCGTCTTGTCAGATTGGGTAAAGGGAAATGGGCTAAAACTATAGTTAGCACGAGTTAAGTTAGAGTAGAAAAGCTATACTGATGGGGGGAGGGGGAGAGGGGTAGGGGATGGCGAATAATCAAGACAGGCTGTGGAATCTCCTCAGGAGAGGAAGGGGGAGCCCTGAATATTGAGACAAGGGCACAGAGTCTTTTATAGTGACAGGGAATGGATGGAATGACCCCTGGTGTGTCCTGATGGCCAAGGAGCAGAGGTGGTGGATGGACAGAGGAAATGAAGCAGTTGAGTCCCAAATGCCAGTGTCTGGGCTCATGCAGCCAGATCCTTGCCAAGTTTGAAGGGGGCAAACAGCCATTGCTGAGTTGGTCCTGGGCCCCCTTCATTCCTCCCCCCACCCCACCCCTCCCCTCTCCCCTCTGCCCTGAGCTTTCCCTCCATCTCACCGGCCCTTGGCTCTGCTCTGTGCCTA